TCATTCATTCATTCATTCATTCATTCATTCATTCATTCATTCATTCATCATATTTGTGACTCTATTCCTATATTCATGTACTTGGGAATATACTGGGGGTGGTTGGTGGCCTGAGAATGCTCTCTCCATCTTTTTAACTTTGTATATCTGTGTAAGATTTTTATAGCTTTTTATTGCTTTTTTACTTGTAAGCTGCCTAGAGTCACTTATACAGTGAGATGGGTGGCATATAAATTTGATTAATAAATAAATAAAAATAAATAAAGTACTGAGCTTAACACTTATTCCCTATTAAATATTCATAGGATTAAGCTTTAAGTTCCAAAATGAATAGGATATCTGAACTCTCATTTTTTCTCTAACAGGTTCAATTCAACCTTTCAAGATGCTATGTTTGCCCAACAGAAAAGTAGAGTGTATATATATACCAAAAATTTTAAGACAGTTCTCTAGGTTAAAATCATGCTGTAACTACCTCTGTTGACTGAGTGATGATCAGAAGCATTTATAATCATCTGTGACAGCGAAGGGAGTCACAAAACGAATGAAATTAAATGTCAGCATCTCAGAACTTTGATTTTTATATAAATTGCTGTGAACATAAGGAGTAATAGATTACTTTGCACCTTTTCTTTCCCTTTGTGGTTGAGATATAGATAACCTAAATCATGCTCCCATCTTGCCCTTAGCATATTGTGCCCCACCTTATATAGCTTTGGATGGATCTGTATAGCTTATAACTTATATCTGTATAGCTTTATAGCACTCAAAATCTGTCAAGTCCCTTTGGACAGGATATTCCTGTCTTATACAGTATTGTGCCTGCAGCAATTGATTACCTAGCATAGTTCCTTGGACTTCTGTTCCAGGGAAGAATAGCAGCCTGTGCAAATTGTGTCCAAAATCTTATTTCTCATTTTTTATTTTGTCCAAGCTATAAGTTTTTCGCCTCTGCTGTCTCCTCAGAGGAAGGAATATTTAACATTGTGTGAGGGAAGAAAGGAGGCAAGCTATTTCTTCTGTGATTTCTGAAAATATCAAGTGACAAGCTTATATTTAGACAGATCGATCCTATGGAGGTCAGAAGGGGGAGAAATTTGTGATGAGAAAACTGCCAGAGTTGTTTTGGACAAGACTGAAGGGGGCAAACAATTCTTCTTTTTATGTTTCATTGCCAGCTGTTGTTGTTGTTACTACTTGGTTTCCCATTATTCTAACGGGCCAGAAATTCACTGTACTGTACCAGCTATAGAGCTGACATATTTTTCCCAACATGCCTAAGTTCTCCTGATTATCTTTGGAGCCTTGGCGAGGGAATAATCATGGCAAAGGTAACTGCTATCCTAATGAAACCTCCAGATGTCTGCCAATTCTGGATCTGAGTACACCACATCATATGAGCCTTGGCGTAAACTTCAGGAGACCACAGATTGCCCTCCCCCAGCATTTCTCCTTGTGAACCTGTCCCACTGAATGTGTATGTCAATTATAAAGAAATGTTGTGCACTTAATTCATTCATATATATTTATATTCCTTCATATATATTTACATATCTCTACCTCAGCACCTCCTTTTAGATATCATCAAGTTTAACAGGATAGATATGTAGTCAGCTGAACAAATTTAGCTTTTAAAAAGTCACTTTTGCAGCTGAAGGAAACATACACTTTACATTTCCTAAGTAGTCAAAAGTGTGGGTAACAGTTGTCAGTTCACATGCAGCCTTCAACTCAGTTTACCGAAATACATATTAGTAAACGCTAATATCCATAAACCGGGATTGTTGTGTAACTTTTACTTGAAGAGTCAATATCTAAGGGAGGTTTGTTTGTTTTTTTTCCTTGCCAGAGATTTATCTAAAAATGTTCCAGTTGCATGGGGAAATCAAAGGTTGTATCTTTGTCCCACTTCTCTTTAGTCTATCAGTCAGGATGCAATGTGAGAGATTGTGGGGAGGCTGGGAAAGGAAGGGAAGAGACAGAAATAATCTCATAAAACAGAGCAGCCACTATCTAATAAATGGCAACTCAGCCCAAGTGAAGAAAAATCTGAGAATAAATGTTTCCAAGAATTCAAAGAGACTCCACCTTAATTAACTCACTGTAAAAGAGGCTGGTAAATTCCTATTACAGTTTCTAAGATTATATATTTACTCCAGATTAGCAATCTGTGTTTTCATGTTTCCTTGATCTTGCCTGGCTACATGGAGTATGACATGCTTCCAGCAATTTTCATTGAGGGAAATCTATCCTTTCTGCTTTCTCAAATACAGTAATTTTGATTTCTTGTATCCAGATTAGACTGTATGAACTGTTATCAGCCTTATCAAATTTCCATCCCACAGAGCTCACTTAGCGTATTCAAATGTGAAGATCATTAGCAAGGTAACACTGGTACAGCCATACAAGTATAACGTTGTTGAGTCCCAATCTCTGCTTTTCTTCTCCTTTTATATTAATGGTGTGCTACTGATGTCTCTCTCCTTCTACTAGTAATATATTAATGCGTTTAAGAACTGTCTCTTCCTGGATACTCCCAGAATTCACGTCCCTTCCTGCTACAGTTAGTTACAGACATATGTCAAAAGGTGTCCTCTTTAAGCAACTCCAGTGGAATGTCCAAGAATGGACATTCTTCCAACCATTTCCCCCTCCCCCAGTTAGCATGTAGTAATCCTCAACTGAAGTTCTTTTCTGTTTATTTTTTGCATGTACTTTTTATTATCTGACTTCTGTCCTTTGAACTTCTTGTGCTCTATAATGACCAGTGGGATTTTAAAAAAAGCAATTGGCCCATCAAATAATTCACTGACACAAATGGTAATACATGTTCGAGTTACAAAAACAATGTCACATAGTTTCACATAGTTGGAAGAAAACTATGCAGGTCTAGATCAGATGACATACATTCTTTATCTGATCTATATATGTGATAGGGAAAGAGAAGTGGTTTCGCCTCCTATCCCTTCAACAGGATATATCAGTTCTAATGTCAAGGGCAGGGATAATATTCTAAAAGGACCTGTTTGTATAAATATTAATGGGTACAAGCCCAGCTCACATGATTGGTTCTTGGACTAAATTTTATGCACCAAGCCTTTATTCAAATGTTTAAAAAAAAACCTGCCAAAACAAGTCATAAAGCAATTTAAATACTTGTGGTACTCATTTGTAAATTTTCACATTTATAATGTAATACAGAAAATATGTTTTGTTGCTAAAACAAACACCCCATACAGAGGACTCAGGGCACCCTGAGCTTGCAGAAGTACAAAGCATCTTTAGAAAAATAAATCCTCAGGGAGGAAGGAAAAATCAGGAAAAATCCACTATCGCCCCATCAGAACTAAGTAAGCCCAGAATGGGGAGGAAACAGAAGCCCAGGGGAAAGAAGGAAAATGCCATTGGTCAGCTGAAACCATGAACACTCCAGACTCTCCATGTAGGTGAAATTATTTTAAAATTGGATGAGAAAGCATATTTTCAGATGTATTATTTCTGTTTTCCTTCCAGATAAACGTGTTGACAACTGGCCTATGATGCAATCTCCTTTTCCAACATTGACAATAAGCACGCTTTACCTCCTTACTGTTTGGCTTGGTCCTAGATGGATGAAGACAAGAGAGCCTTTCCAGTTTCGTTTTTTGTTGATTTTTTACAACTTTGGAATGGTTCTACTTAATTTCTATATTTTCAAAGAGGTATTCCTGTTTTCATTCTATACATGGATAAGTGCACACATTAGATAGACCTGTAAGGCACATATAGAGATATAGTAATAGATATATGTATAATCTTATACATGTCTTCTCAGAAGTCAGTCCCATTGAGTACAATATGTCTAATTGCAAGGGACTTGTATTTAGGATTGTAGCCATATTTGCTACTTGTGACTCATTATTTCAAGTGAAAGTACAAATATTTGGACAACTGGATATGCATTTAAAAGGTGGATGACTCTCTGCATTCATTTATTGATTCATTGAAATTGTTGGGTTGAGTGACAGACTAGAAGCTCATGAACTGGATTCTTCCCACAGAGAAGAAGAAATAATACTGAATCTGATCAATAATGCCCATTCAAAACTGTGGACTATTCAGGAACATGCATGAATTATTTAGCACCACAAATTATGCTAAGTCATGACATGATTTGTTTGGTTTTAGCCTAGCATAGTTACATGAACATCTATGTAAACCATGGTTAATAGCTTAGTATTATGTGAGAATCAATCTCCTAAGGCTTCATCAGCAAAACCTGATTAAAGATAACCAAGTATGAATAAGATACCCAAACCCAGCCATAGATTTTAGCATCAGGTATGCAACAGTATTTTAGTAGTAGTATTTTTATTTGGTACATTCTTATACCAAAGCGCAGTATAAGCAGACGGTATTTGCAGTGGCATCTTGCAGAGCATGCAGAAGCATAAGAAGTTTGCCTCCACTAGGGACCAGACACCATGAGCCAACTACCTTAAGAGCAGGTGGGTATGGCTGTCTCAGCACTCTGTCTTCTACCAGCTGAGCAGGCAAATCCAGGGCTGCTCTTTGTCTCCAGCATTTAAAAAACGCCTGACTCTTGATAGGAACATTAGATAATTAAATTGTTTGTCTTGGGGTTTTTTCCTTTTAAATGATGTGATAAACATTCGTTTTGGAATGTCGACATCAATTTTTTTGGTGAAGTTTTTTTTCTTTCTTTTCTTTTTTCCACCAAGATGCTTGACATATTTTTTCCCTCCTAAGCATTTTACATTGCGGTGATAAAAGGTACCCTCCATACAACATGTGAGCTGCATTCACTACTAAACCTCTGAGATGCCCCCCCCCCATGTGATTTGCTTAAAGTGCCCTTGTGAAAACTGGCACAGCAAGCTGAATTGACCCTGAGTGGCGGCAGGGGGAAGAATCGGTCCTGAATTTGTGGCCCAGTAAACTAAATTGTTTCTATTCACTGACCATGTCTCAGAGATAGTATGGCTGACATGCTGACCTAGTAGGAAGGGGTAAATAATGAGAAGGTCACTCAGATGGGTTTATCAAAACCATTCCAATGTCGTGCTGTGATTTACACTATGACTTTTGTCTTGTCTTTGAAATGTAGTAGGCCAAAGGTATGTAAGCTCTGGGTCTGCTTTTGCTCAGGGCTGCTCAGCAGGCTGCCCATGCTTTGCTGGGAGCCCGGTGTACACGGCATTGTATGCCCGCTTAACCAGTTTAGGTTGTATCTTCAACGTGATTTGCTTTAGGGGAGTGAGGTTTGGGCCACAACAATGTATAGAACCAATTATGTGTAGGCAGTAGATGAAATGAGAATACTAAAAGTATAAGGAGAATCTCAGCATTCTCCCACACTGTGCACAATATCTCATATCCCACTTATGCTATCATTATCATATAAAGATGTTAAAACAGATGTTATAAAGATGTTAAAACAACCAAATTGCGCTAAGTAGCTACCACAAAGATGGGCGGAATACCAGTAAGAGGAGTAATGACCATCAAAGCATAGCTGATCATGACCTGTAATGTCATCTGGTAAGATATACAGGCAGCTGTATTACTAATGATTTATGCCAAGCTTAGCATGAACACACCCATACATAAAGGCAACAGTCCATACTGTATCTGCATGGTATGATCCCTCACTAATATATTCAGTGTTCAGTTTTATTGCCGTAATTAGTACATTCCATCCTTCTAAATTATTGATGTGAAGGCGAGGCTGCACTACATCACAGAGCATTAAGTAGCCTGCCACAGATCCTGTTACAGCAGTAATCCTCTTCCTGCTGAGTAATCTGCACAGGAGGGGAGGGGCTATGCCAAAGGAACATTGCTTGAGGCAGCCTTTCCCAACCTGGTGCCTTCTAGATTTCAGGAACTCCTTAGAAGTTAAGGCAGGGATGGGCAGTGTTTTTCAGGCTGAAGGACACACTTGGTTTTTGAATGGTGTGCTGAACTCTACTTCCAAAAAGGGTGCAGGACCAGGAGAAGGAATATGGTCAGGACAAAAACTTAAATTTGGTTTGATTTAATTTTTT